GACAGCGAGATCTATACTGGGAACGATTGTGAGATCGACTGTGAGATCGACTGTGAGACTGATAGTGAGATGGATCGTGAGATCGAGTGAGAGATCGCTAGTGAGACCGATAGTGAGAACTGTTGTGAGATCGATAGTGAATCCGAATGCGAGATCGATGGTGAGTTCGATGTTCAGATAGACGGTGACATCGATTGGGAGGTCGATAGTTTGATATGTTGTGAGATCGCTTGTGAAATCGATAGGGGGTTAGATTACCATATCACTTGTGAGATCGATTGTGCTACTGATAATGGTATCTGTAGTGAGATCAATAGTGGGATCGAATATGAAGTCGATAGTGAGATCTGTTGTAAGATCGGGAGTTTGATCGATGTGTGATCGATTGAATGAGGCGTTGGTTCATCCCCCCGGACATCCATATCACCCGAACGGTGGTCGTACAGGTAACTGGTACCCATCGGCTCTCGGGAAAAAAAACTACTGCACCAGACGGGCACAACGTTTGCGCCTATTCCGCTTCCACCAACCCCCGTCCATCCTCCTCCTCCTCCTCCTCCTCTTTCGACTCCTCCTCCTCCTCTCCTTCTCCTCCTCTCCTCCTCTCCTCTCCTCCTCCTCCTCCTCCCTCCTCCTCCTCCTCCTCCTCCCCTCCTCCTCCTCCTCCTCCTCCCTCCCTCCTCCTCCTCCTCCTCCTCCTCCTCCTCCTCCTCCTCCCTCCTCCTCCTCCTCCTCCTCCTCCTCGTCCCCCCCTCAAGTTGTGCCTGATAGACGAACTCTCGGGGGCCCCAGCGCCCCCCGTCTCCGCGCCTGCCTGGTGCTCTCGCCGCCGGGTATGGAGAGCTCGCTGAAGGAGAGCGGCTGCACGGCCAAGGGCGTGGGGCCTGGAGCTGGTCCTCCTCCTCATCCTCCACCACCACCTCTTCTTCTCTCATCGAACTTCCTTCTCCTCTCCTCCTCCTCCTCCTTCTTCTCCTCCTCCTCCTCCACCTCCTCATTCCCACATGGCCAATCCTCCCTCCTCCCCCCCTTCTCTTCCTCATCATCGCCCTCCTCCTCCACATGTTCCTGCCACTCCCCCTCCAACTCCTCCTCATCCTCCTCTTCTCCTCCTCCTCCTCCAAATCCTCGTCCCACCGCATCTGCACTACCATCACCATAACGCTGACCCTCATCAGCAGCGGCATCATCATAATCACCACCACCACCAACAACAACATCAACAGCAACGTCATCATCATCATCATCAGCATCAGCATCATTATCATAATCAGCATACTCATCATCAGCACCGTCATCATCATCATCATCATCATCATCATCATCATCATAATCATCATCATCATCATCATCATCGTCATCGTCATCATCATCATCATCATCATCATCATCATCATCATCATCATCATCATCATCCGTATCAGCATCATCATCCTTATCATCATCAGCATCATCATCATCACAGTCATCAGCATCCCTATCATCATCATCACCATATCATCATCATCATCGTCAGCAGCAGCATCCTCATCAGCAGCATCATCACCACCATCAGCATCCTCACCAACAGTATCATCATCAGCATCATCAGAATCATCAGCAGCATCATTATCATCGTCGCCGCCGTCGTCATCACCATCATCATCAAAACTGGCAGCATCATCATCACCACCACTATCATCACCATCATCATCAGCAGCATCATCATCATCAGCATCAATATCAGCAGGCGCATCATCACCTTGTTCGTCGTCATCAGCATCACCACTATCATCCTTAGCATCGTCAGCAACAGCAACATTAGCAGCAGCAGTATCATCAGCATCAGCAGCAACCGCATCATCATCAGCAGCAGCATCATCGTCGACGTCGTCGTCGACACCATCGTCTCCGTCACCGTCACCGTCTCCGTCTTCGTCGCCGTGATCGTCACCGTCAACATCATAATCAGCATCATCAACTTCGTCATCGGCATCCAGCATCAACATCATCAGCAATAACACCATCACACCCATCATAACACTGATCCGAACAACCCTCAGATTCGTTGTCGTCGTCATCACCATCAGCATCATCAGTATCAGCATCAGCATCAGCATCATCATTATCGCCATCGTCGACATCATCATCATCATCATAGACAGCAGCATCATCGTCGGCATCCTCCTCCTCCTCGTCTAAATTCCCATCATCAATACCATCATCAGCAGCAGCATTCTCATCATCATCATCAGCACCATCATGAGCGCCACCATCGTCCTCATCACCATCAACATCATCATCAGCAGCATCAGCATACGCATCATCACCCAAACATCCTCATAATCAGAATCACCCTCAGCATCACCATCAGCATCATCATCGACATCCGACATCATCATTATCAGAATCGACATCATCCTCAGCAGCATCATCCTCACAGTCATCTTCAGCATCATCCGCATCAGCATCATCATCAGCATGATCATCATCATGATAAACACAAACACCATCGTCACCAACAACAGCATCAACATCGCCATCATCGTCAGCAGCATCATCATCGGCATCACCAGCGCCACCAATATCTCAATCACAATGGTGTGCCTTGATCATCGTCGTACTACTCGTCCTCGTTATTACCAGTCTGATCAGCATTATCAACAGCGTCATCAGCTTCTCCAGCATCGTCGCCAACACGATCGTCACCGAAAGAAATATCCAGCTGGTCATCAACCTCATCAGCGTATTAGTCATCGCCACCAGCATAAACACAATCATAGTCATGTTCGTCGTCATCATCATCATCGTCATCATCATGATCATCATCACCACCACTATCATCATGATCAGCATCATCAACATTATCAGCATCGTCATCGTCATCGTCGTCAACATCAGCATCAACATCAGCAGGATAATCCTCATCAGCACCATCAGTGTCGCCATCAAATCACCACGGTCAGCAGCATAGTTGTCCTCATCAGCGATGCCAGCATCAGCATAACCACTATCACCATCAGCATCATCAGCATCATAATCAGCATCAGCATCAGCATCATTATCATCAGCAACAGCATCCGCATCATCATCATCACCAGCATCAGCATCATCATCATCAACAGCAGCAGCAGTGGCATCCGCATTATCCTCAGCAGCAGCATCATAATGATCACCGTCAGCATCACCACCATCATGAACACCAGCATCAGCTTCAGCATCGTAGTCAGCGCCAACATCATCATCATCGGCATCATCGTTGCCGTCGTTAGCAGCATCAGCAGCATCAGCATCAGCATCCTCAAGCATGAATGTCAAACACGTAAGCCGATGAAGGGCGGCACCAATTTCATCATCCAGCTATCACACTAGCGCCGCGCACACTCGTCTCGCGGGTGGAGGCCGATGTTTTTCTCAACGAACGCTCGTCATGATTGGCGCTTGAGGGGTGGAGGCAAATCATGCTTCAAAATGGAGCCATCGCCTGGATGGTATGTACATGGGGTGCCCGTGTGTTCAAGTCGGGTTCCCCAGAATGCAATGTGAATGCTCGCCACGACTCATGAGGAGGTGCCTTAGGGCGGGAGGGCGGCTTGCGTCGTCGTTGACGCGTCCTGGATCGAATCTTCTCGTCCTCCCGCCTCCTCATTCTCCTCCCCCTCCTCATCCTCCCCACTCCCTCGTCCGCATCATCCGCGGCATGGTATTCCTCCTGCTCCCGACATTTCCAAGAGTGGGATGGCGGGGAGCGAGTTCCCGAGTCTCAAGAGGGCCTTCCTGGCAGGAAGGGTGCACGAGCAGTGGCCCTACGCTGCACCCCATTCGCCCTCGGTCGCCTGATCCTGATCCGATTGCTTCGCGTCACTGATTGCACCCTGGCTAAGCCTGCTCCTCCTGCGTCCTCCGTCGTTGTATGTGTTAGTCCTTCTTCTCCGCATCCACCCCGTCCTCCTCCTCCTCATCCTCGCCATCGGCAGTAATAATATGAAGAAGGAGAATAATGATAAGCAGCAGCAGCATCATCAACATCATGATCATCATCAGCATCAGCATCATCAGCATCATCATCGGCATCAGCATCAGCATCAGCAGCATCATCAGTATCATCATCATCATCGTCGTCGTCAGCATAAGCATCATTATCAGCATCATCATCAGCACCATCATCAGCACAGACAGCATTATCATCATCAGCATCAGCACCAGCAACATCAGCATCGTCACCATCATAATCAACAGCACCAGCATCAACCTCATCCCAACCATCGGCGACACCATCACCATCCGCATCATCATCATCAGCATCAGCATCAGCATCAGCATCATCATCATCATCATCATCATCATCATCATCATCATCATCATCTCATCATCATCATCATCATCAGCATCATCATCATCAGCATCATCATCGTAATCCAAATCATGACCAGCATCATCGTCATCATCATCAGCCTCATCAGCATCATCATCGGTAGCAGTACCATCATCACCATCAGACGTATCAACATCAGCAGCAACATCATGATCGTCATCGTCACCATAGCCGTCCTCGGCGTAATCATCATCAGCATCATCATCAGCACCCGCATCAGTATCAGTGGCATCATCGTCAGCAGCATCATCAGCGTCAGCATCATCAACATAATCAGCATTACCATCACCATCAACTGCACCATCACAATCATCAGCACCAGCATCATCATCATCATCAGCATCAGCATCAGCATCAGCATCATCATCACCACCATCACCCACATCATCGTCATCATCATCGTCATCGTCATCATCATCGTCATCAGCATCATCAACAGCAATGGCAGCAACAACATGGTCGTCAACACCACAACGACAGCAGCATCAGCAACACTACTGCCATCCGCATCATCAACATCTACAGCATCATCGTCGGGTCATCATCACCACGGCCACCATCAGTAGCATCAAATTCCTGCTCCTCCGCCTCGCGGGCCGACAGCCAGCACGCGCCGATGTTTCGCCGCTGCAGAGGTCCCGTCTCGTCACCACCACCGCCAGCCCTCCTGGGGTGGCTCCGAAGAGGTCCCGCAGGGGGGGGAGGGGGAAGACGTGCCAGGAGGGGGAGGGGCAAGGCGGAGAGCAGGGCACGGAAGGGAAGGAGGGAGGGACGGAGGAGTGGGAGAGAGGAGGGAGGAGGAATGGAGGGCGGACAGGGCACAATGCGCGGAGATAGGAGGCGGGGGGAGGGATCGGGAACGAGGGTGTGAGCTGAAGGCAGGGAGGAGGGAGATGCTGGAGCGGTACGATGGAGAGAGAGAGAGAGAGAGAGAGAGTGAGAGAGGAGAGAGGACTTCAGAAGGAAAGAGAGAAGACAGGGGACACAGAGGAGGGAGGAAGGAGAGGCCAGAAGAAGCGGACGGAGGAGGGAGGACGAAGGCTCGGAGGAGCGAGGCGTGGGATGCGGGAGGGAGAGAGAAGTATCAAGCGGGAGGAGTGGGGGAGTGGGGGGGGGGGGGGGGGGGGGGCAAAAGGCAGAGGAAGGGGGAGGAAGGAAGAAGGGGACGACGAGGAGGACGTAGGAGAGAGAAGGGAGATGGAGGTGGACGAGGAGAAAAGAGGAAGGAGAGTAAAGGGAGGAGCATCAATCGTACGAGCACCTCGAGCCACTTGGCATTATGTGACTGGCACCCCGAAGCTCGCGCAGCCCCTGCACGAGATGCGGAAACTTGCGAGCAACACCGCTGCTATGTCCTCTATTGCTGTGTTGGCCCCTGCCAGGGCAGGCAGGAGCGTGTCGTTGTCTCGCTTCGCAACACCTCAGGATGCAACTGCAAACACCTACTGCAGGATCTGAGCAGCCGCAGGAACTGCGAGCGCATGAATTCCACAACTCCAGAACCAGACAGTAAATAATCCCATTAGATGGCCTAGCCACCGACGAACAAGTGCGAAGCGTTAAGCCACACCGCTGCGGAGAGGAGGAAGGGGAGTTTTGTTCTTTTGACTCTGCCTAGGACCATCCTTGGGACCACGAGATTGAAGATAAATGGTGAAAACATCGAGGCAACAGTAGAACTGTACATTGTGGCCGCGGCCGGCGTCGGCGCGAGCGAATTTCTTGCACTAGGTTGCACTAAGTTGCACTAGGGTACATTCAGCGATCAGTACGTTAAAATGAATTACACTAAATTACGCTAAATTACATTCAATTACACTAGGTTACACTCAGTTATACTCAGTCACACTGAGCTACACTAAGTTACGCTACGCTACACTTAGTTACAATGAGTTACACATTCAGTTACACTAAGTTACACTCATCTACACTAACTAAAAATCGGCTACACTCAGTTACACTCAGTGACACACAGTTGCACTCAGTCACACAGGGCACTGGGCCACATTGCGCCGGGCAGACCTAGACTCAATTACGTTGACGCACACGACATATCAATAAGTTGTTACTAGGCTACAATACGTTACACGAATTTACGCAGCGGCTGCACTCGACTACGCTCGGCTGCGTTCAATAACCATCGCCAACACTCAAATACATCCTGGTGCGCGTGGTAGCGCGTAGTCTCATTATTCTCGATGGACACTACGTGTAAATTGGCGCATGGGAACCGTCCGCCGAGGTTCCTGCAACAGCCCACCAGCTACACGAAGTTACACTACATTACACGAAGTTACACCATGTTACATTCAATTGCGCTCAAATGCGCCCATCTGCAGTCGGCTACATTCGGGCACGCCCGGCTATGGAGAGATGCGTTCCGATACGCCCATGTACATTCAGTTACACGCGATCGTCAGATACGTGCAGCTGGCGTTCGAAATCGGCGCCTGCTGCGGGCTTCTTATGAAATCGTGACAATCACTCAAACTCAGCTGCCATCATCACCAGCGTACCTGCGGCTGGTGATAAAAAACTGCGCCTGCGGCGGGCATCTTGCACATTCGCTACACCCATTTACACGCACTTGCCTTCGCCTCCAAATTACCTGTGGCTGGTGTTCGAAATCGGCGCCTGCGGCGGGCCTCTTTTTCGTTCGTTACACCCAAGTAAATTCTGTTATTAACAAAACCAAGTGCCTGTGGTTGGTATTCGAACTTGTCGCCTGCAGTGACCCCCCATGCCTCGCATCGCACTCGTGAACATCTCGGTGAGCAGTCGATGATCGGCCCTCGCAGAGTCCTCGAAGGCCCTAGCCTTTTCAGGGTCTCTCCCTCGGCCTTATGCTCCACCGCCTGTTCCAAGGTGCTCTCAACATAATTGTGAGACACCTATGGCGCTGGCGGGCAATCAAGCGGCCCCGCTCCGGGTGCCTTTTGCGAGGCGAGGCGTTCCCCGAGTCTTCGTCGAGTCTCCTTCTCCTCCGCTTCTTCACTTTTATGTCTCATCTCAGCTTCTTGTTGGTTTTTATTCCCGACCTAGGCTCTGCCTAGAAGGGTTCCTACTGTGTGAGCTTAACGGGCCGGGCAGTGGACCCCGCCCCGGGCGGTTCCCCTGGCATCCGCACCGCGGTTCCCCCAGTTACGTCCCCTAGCTTTAGCTTTAGTTTTAGCTTTAGCTTTAGCTTCAGCTTTAGCTTTAGTTTCAGCTTTATCGTTAGCTTTAGCTACAGCTCTAGTTTTAGCTTTAGCTTTAACTGTAGCTTAGCTTTAGCTTAGCTTTAGCCTAGCTTTAGCTTAGCTTTAGCTTAGACTTGGCTTAGCTTTAGCCTAGCTTTGGCTTAGCTGTAGCTTAGATTTAGCTTAGCTGTAGCTTAGCTTTAGCTTAGATTTGGCTTAGCTTGAGCTTAGCCTTAGCTCAGCTTTAGCTTGGCGTTAGCTTAGCTTGAGCTTAGCTTTAGCTTAGATTTAGCTTAGATTTAGCTTAGCTTTAGCTTAGTTGTAGCTTAGCTTTAGCTTAGCGTTAGCTTAGATTTAGCTTAGCTTTAGCTCAGTTGTAGCTTAGATTTAGCATAGTTGTAGCTTAGCTGTAGCTTAGATGTAGGTTAGCTTTAGCTTGGTTTTAGCTTAGCTTTAGCCTAGCTTGAGCTTAGCTTGAGCTTAGCGTTAGCTTAGCTTTAGCTTAGCTTGAGCTTGACTTGAGCTTAGCGTTAACTTAGCTTTAGCTTAGCTTTAGCTTAGCTTTGGCTTAGCTTTAGCTTAGACTTAGCTGAGCTTTACCGATACTACTAATGCTGCTTTCCTAGGGGCTCCAACTCCTAGGTAGGGTCGCAATGGGATAATTACTTCCCCACATCACACTGCCGCGCCCCTTGCACGGCAGGGTTGCGGCTGGCCTTCTGCCCACGCACGCAGGCAGCCAGGACGCGCGGCCAGAGGACCTCGCGGTTGCTCTCGGAGAGGGAAGTGGCCAGCTGCCGGCATTGCCACCACCGCCTGATGCCATTCACTACCAGGTCGTGGACGTCGCGGGGCGCCGCGTCCAGCAGCGAGGTCATTTGCCCGCGGTCGTCGCACAGCCAGTGCGCCGAGCGCATGCTCCAGACGGTGCGTTGGAGGGTCATCCAGATGGCGGCCATGAACCCTCGGACCTGGGCCCAGCCGGCGTGGGCGCTCAGCTCCTCGTGGCTGAACTCTTCCTCTCGCCCTGCAGTTGCACGGCGCCCACGGGAAGTGGCGCGAGAGGGGGGGGGGGGGCTTCTGAGAAGGCGGCGGGGCTTCTGAGAAGGCAGGGGAGGTCCTCGGGAGCAGGCCCGCCTAGTCGCCTTGCTTCTAAGGAGCCCCCTTGGAAGCCCCTGGGCCCTTCCAAGGTTAAGTCGGGCATGGCCTCCTAACGGCGGATGTTGGAGGACACATCTTTTCAAAAGCCAAACGCTCATCAAACGTAGTCCCCAAAAAAGGTACGCAAATCGTCTTGGTCGATTATTTTCTGATTAGTTGTATTATGCTTTTCTATTGTTTGTAAAAACAAAATGAATATGTTTGGGATGTTTGGGATTCTTACTACCTTTTGATTATTGTTGGGCTACTCCCCCTGTCGAGGGGCATGCCCGCCTTACTTCTGCAGGAGGCCCCTGCCTTCCGAGGAAGCCCCCCCCCCACAGGCCCCCTCGGACGGCCGGCCCCCCCCCCCTCGCGCTGCCTCATCCCTGCAGGCGCGCCGCCAGGCAACACAGAAGCGCAGGGCCCGCCTCTCCCCCTTCGGTGGCAACTCGCGGGAGCCTCCCACGCCATCTTGTCGGCGCTTGCGAGCCGGCGCCGGCCGACGCCAGATCGACGCGGATCGGCGCTGCCTTGGCGCTGATCAGCGCTACATCGGCGCTGCGTCGGCGCCATCTCCTCCACTCCCGGCCGCTATCCGACGCTGGTCGACGCGAAAGACAGAATTCGGAGGCTGGCCATCGCTCGGACGTCCATTCCCTGTGTTCTTTTTACCTATAACAGCGAAGACTGATAGGGTTCTGGTCTCAAAAGAAAACATCTTGACTCCTCAGGGGGGTCTGGGCAGATGCCGGACGGGTGCCGGGGAGAATCCGCGGAAGTCGTTTTAACAAAACAGTTACACACTTCGTGGTCTTCGAGGTCCCAGAACTCCATTCCCGGGCCACATTTTGAATGCCCGGAGCCAACTGTAGGCCACTTCGTGCTCTTCGAATTCCCAGAACTCCATTCCCGAGCCACATCTTGAATGCCCGGAGCCAACTGTAGGCCACATCGTGCTCTTCGAGTTCTCAGAACTCCACTCCCGGGCCACATTTTCAATGCCCGGAGCCAGCTGTAGGCCACTTCGTGCTCTTCGAGTTCCCAGAACTCCACTCCCGGGCCGCATTGTCAATGCCCGGAGCCAACTGTAGGCCACTTCGTGCTCTTCGAGTTCCCAGAACTCCATCCCCGGGCCGCATTTTTAAATGCCTGGAGCCAACTGTAGGCCACTTCGTGCTCTTCGAGTTCTCAGAACTCCATTCCCGGGCCACATTTTCAATGCCCGGAGCCAACTGTAGGAGGAGCAGGGGCAAGAGCACAGGGAGGAGGAGGAGGACGAGCAAGACGAGGAGGACGAGGACGAGCACAAGGACGAGGAGGAGGAGCAGGAGAAGGAGGACGAGCA